CAAGATTTCTCATGAAAGCGTGCTTAATTAGCTTAAAGGGTTAGCTCTAGAGCTCACGGATTTACCTGAGTGAAAAGTACGGAGGCAGGGAGTAGAGGTACTGCTGCTGCTGCTTCTGCTGCTGACTAAAGTCGTCAGCAGTGCTGGTCAAGCTCTTGCCGCTGCTGTGCAGACTCAGCGACTGACTCGAGAAGAGACAATACTCGCCTGGCGAGGCTGATGGCTGCTGACCTTTCTGAGCGGATGACGATAAGACGGTGGTCGACTGCGATGACGACTGTGATGACCACTGATCAGCAGCTCGGTTGAGCAGTTGCTCCTGCTGGTGACCTTTGTGACGGGAGGATATGCTACTGCTCACTGGAAGCACTGCTACGGGATCCGGTTTGCTGCTCGATGAAAAGCGATCAAGATCATGATCACCCGCAGTGGCTGAACTACTGTCCACGGTCAGCTGGTGGTGCACTGGCTCGTAGCTGCTGGTAGGAGACATTAGACTCAGCGAGGAGGGGAGATATTTGTTTGGAGGATGAGTGTGCTGCTGTCCTGCTGATTGAAAGGGCAGAAATTAGTGCTGATAGACAGGTACTGATCACTGAATCCTGATCAGGATCATGGTCGAAGCTCAGGGTCATTGAAGGTGCACACATTGTGCTGTACTGTGGTTGCACTTACCATCTGCGGCGCTGAGGCCAGTGCTGCCGTACTGCTGCTGATTGCCAGTGCTTATCTCGTCCGTTTCATTCTGGTGGTGTGGGAAAACGATGAAGGTAAACAAGTCATATTCACTCATGTGTTTTTACAGAAAAGACAATAATTTTAGTTTGGAATCTTTTCACTGTTGATAAGGTTGATTTGTTTCAAAAAGCAAACCACTTACTTTTTCAAGTTAGTGGTTAATGAGTCATTTTATTTTTATTTTTAGTGTTGCAGATTTCATTTTTTTAGTAGGAAACAGCACTAGATAAGCAATCTGCTGTACCAAGTGCTGCGGCTATGTTTGTCTCACTTTGTCTAGTTTGCCACTGCAGTCAATTAATCGATTTGATTGAACATCTCAGTTTATAAATACACACATACATTCTCACTGAAAAAACGCCAATAAAACCCAAAAACCGAGGTTTGAAAATAGAAACACTGGGTGACTAATGCAGTACAGTTTTTAACTTGACGAACACTCTGCACTTTGTCCACTTGCGTGCATCAAGTGATAGCACTTAATTGTACTGCTACTGTCACCAATGCTGTACTCAGTGAACTTTAACTTCAAGTAACTACTGAACCTAATTATTGAGTTATTATTTCTTGTCATTCAGTACAAACGATTGGCCAACAAATCACAATGTTTCAACATGTTTAACATCCCTCTTCATTTCTTATCAACTGTCAACCGGTAAACCACGCGACCAATCTAAAATTTCTATTTTTACAACTTACATCAAAAAGTGAGTACTTCTGTGAGGTGAAGTAGTTGGACAGCGACGTTTTGGCGTTGTTCCACCAGAGAGGCGGTTCATTGCCGTTTCCGCCACTGACACCGCCGATGGCTTTGCCAGCGGCACGGGCTGCACTCTTCTTCATTTTTACTTCTTTTTTAATTTGCTCAAACACGGGTTCAGTCGTAATTTTGGCCAAGAGGGTTTGTTTACAGTTTGCGTATTATTACATCACTAAAACAAATCACAACTTCCGGGAGGAAGGTAGATGCACACTGTAATCTGAACTAGTTGAAGATAGTGCTGAGGATGATGATGATACTCGAATTCAGTAGTCAGTCAGAAGCAGTGTTGGTGTGCACTGGTCATTCATCATTCAATGCACCATCAGCAACAGCTGTGGTTGGCTTTGCTTAATTGTAATCAAACACACACACATTCACTGAGCAACTGCTATCATCACACAGGTAACAAACACAGGCTCGTTTGAGGTACGATTTGTATTTGTCTTTCCTTGCTCACTGTGTTTGCGCAGTGTTGAACGTGTTATCATCACCACCTAATCATCATCACCCACATACACACACATCCAGACTGGTGCCGTTGATGATGATGCTGATGATGTTGTCCGATTGTTGTTGATGTGCGCCGACTACACTGGTGGTGAGAGGGAAAGTTGAGGATGAAGAGGAGAAGTGCCACTTCTAGAAACTTGCACTCACACTCACATGCACACAGACAGAGCACTTTTGTGCGACATCAGCAGCATCGTCCACGAAGGCAACCAAGCACTACTAAGCAACCATACGTACAGTCAGTGGTAGGACTACCGTTGTCGCAACACACCTTCATTTGCCTTGAAATGACATTTTTACGATTCACTGGTGCGGTGCATGCAGCAGCGGCAACAGTGGCAGTGGCAGTAAAGATGGCGCACAAGCAGCTAATGGCAAATTAAAAAGGTGATCCCGGCTAGCTGATTCATTGACTGCACAAAATTTGGTTGTTTTTGCAAAAAATAGAAGTGAATGAAAAGACGCACTTTTGCCTAAGGTTAGTCCTCATCGCTTCCAACATCATTACAGTGACTTCAGTTAATAGCAGATACCTCGATTATGCCGTACAGCAAGAGTGTGTCACTGTTTTCAGCTGTACTGATAAGTAGAATAGGCAGACGACCACTGTTGTGTTGCTCCTTGCATAATCTTAGTACCAGTATCGCACTCTTGATTAGCCAGTTTCCTTCTCATCTCCATGCATCAGCATCAGCAATAACAGCAACATGGATGCTCAGTTTGGAAAATAAAGGTCATAGGTTGAGCAGTCAAGTAAAAGGAGGACAACAGCAAATTGATGATCAAACTTGTGATTTTATTTACGTTCACTATGCGTACAATTTAATTGTGATTGTTGAACCAAACAAAAAGGCAAATCAGATCAGTCAATAAATATTGGTGGTTTGAATTTTTTGTGCTCATCACTTATTTGTCATGCAGATGCTGAACGCAGTCCTTGGCGTCCTTTCCTTCGCACTTCAGAAGGCTGACACTGTGATGGGAAGAGGGGAGAAAATAGTTAAACAACAGTTTTTAAGCGTTCGTTCATGCTCTTACCAGTCCTTGTACTTCATTCCGGTAGACTTGATGACTGCCGCCTCGCCGCAGTGTTCAATATCCTTCAGGCAGTGGCCCTTCTCAATGTCGTGGCCCATGCACTTGATGAAAGCAACGCCGTCATGGCCAAAATGCTTGAGGAAGTTCTTCAGCTTAGATAAGAAGTTGTACTCAGTCATGCCCTCCTCATCAACGGGCGAGGCCATGGTGCCCAGCACCAGGAAAGCGGCAAGAACGGCGAAAAGCAGAACTAAAAAACACAAACAATGTTGTTTTTAGTTTAAAACATTTTATTTGTTGCTAAAAACTTACCCTTCATGTTTAGAAGTAAGGTTTTTGGTTTGGTTTGTTTTGTGTTATAAACAAGAAATCAAAACTCAAATGTAACTTCCACGACAAACTGCGCGGACTATTTATTTGTTTTACAAATCCTTGGCTGGCCAAGTCATATCAAGCGTGATCACCTCACTTTACTACCACACTGGTTATGTAGAGCAATCCAACCACCTCAAGGAGGTCTCACATGTAGAAACAGTAGTTTGAGTGCCTTTCTGTTCTTCTCTTTGTCTACTTAGCGACGGGGCAAATTATGTTCAGATACTTTTGGTTTTGCTGTTGCTACCGTTAAGAGTCTCAATGAGATAGGAGACATTTAAATATTTAAAAATACTTGGCAGCTAAGCAAAGTATACTGGCATTGAATTTGCTTTAGCCACAGAAACTGAATGTTTATTTAAAAAATAAATTTAAAACAGCTTTGCATTTTGAACTAGTTAAGGCATTAAAACGCTGTAGTTTTTGGAAAAGGATTAATTAAGCAACACTTTAGATTGGGATTCTCCTCTGATAAAAATGTGGTGACGCCAGTTTTAAAATAATAATAATAATTTGCAATCTCGCAGATTTTTAAGATCCGGGATCTCAACACGCTGCACAGTGTTTTATCTTTGGATAAAACTGGATAAAACAAGATAAACAATGCCGTAATGATTATTGTCAATATTTATTTTAATTTACTTGTCAGTGCCACTTGAAGTCACCTGACTGTACCATTTTTGTATGGCTGATTAGCAATTGAAAGAGAACAAATGTTTGCAAAACAGACAGAACATTTTCTTCTTTGCTTCAGGATTTACAGACTCGAAGCTAGGTAATGAGCACAGGAAGCTCCACCATTTCCAAGGCACTTAACTACGGACAAACACTGAATTTGACTGTGGTGTGTGTACATGCAGTGATTAGTAGTGTCAGCACAGGTGTTGGTCCACTCGGGGCCCATGCAGATGAGGAAGGCCATGCCTGACTTGCCGTACTTGGTCAGAAAAGTCGAGTAAGTAGAGGCAACAGATGAGGGCAGGCTAAAGCAGTATTCTCCAGGATTGTTGTTGTGCACATCATCTGGCATTTTTCTAAACGCAACTACACCACTAACAATTGCGGCCAGCAAAAGAACGACAATGAAGGCTGTGATAAAGTGTAAAAATTTGAGTTAACAAGTTGTGTTAGAAAAATTCTTGTTTTGTACCTTTCATTTTCTTGGTTTTTGACAAACTTGATTGTGTTTTTTAAAAAAAAGTATTTGTTTTGATACTTTAAAATGGGAAAACGCTTGCTTTTTATAAGAAAACACAGTTGTTGCAAAGAAAATAGTTTCGTCGTCAAGGATTATTATTTCTTTTTTTGGTGAACACGTTTCAACCGTACATCGTATTGCATTATTTTTTCATGTTTATTAAAAATTACAGTTATTATAATAAAATCAATTATATGTGCATACAGCGGTAGAGTAAAAAAAATCAAATTTAGAAAGCAGCTGCAACAGAAAAAGCTGCAGAATAATGCAAGCAAATGAGAAACCTCCTCTTTGGTTGCTCAGGGCTGAAGGGGTGAGCTGAGTTGCAGCGCTTTGTGTTGTAATGCAATCAGGGCAAAGAAAGAAAAAGAGGTGTGTTCACTTGGAGTGCGAACCACTGGCGCCACTAGAGCCGCTGGCGCCGCTAGAGCCGCTGGCACTGGAGCCCTTGGAAGAGGATCCGTGGCTGGATGAGCCGCCATGACTGCTGCTTCCACCTCCTGACTTGCTGGCGCCACTGCTGCCACCCGAGGAGCCGCCCTTTGAGGAGCCTGACGAGCCAAGAGAGGTGTTACTGCCGCTGTGGTGACTGCCTGACTTGCTGCCCGAAGCGCCCGAGCCGGCCGACTTGCTGCCACTTGGGCGTGATCCAGAGAAGCCCGATCCTGAGGCGGCCGATCCAGAACTGCCGTGACTGCCACTCATGCCCGAACCGGACGAATGTGAGCCCGAGGCCGCAGATCCACTGGCTGGGCGGCTACCACTGCCCGCCTGGGAGCCACTGCCCGAGGGGGCGGCCGATCCTGCCTGAGAGCCAGACGGATGCGAGCCCGAAGCCATGGAGCCACTAGCTGGGCGACTGCCACTCATCGGCGCAGCCGATCCATGCGAGCCCGAAGCGTGAGAGCCAGAGGCGGCCGCCGATGAACCGGAAACGTAGTTGCTGCCACTGCCCGAGGCGCGCGAGCCCGAGTGCACTGCACTCGATCCAGAAACGTAGTTACTGTTGCCCGCTCGGGAGCCACTGGCGCTGGCGCTGGCAGTCGGGTCGAGCTCATTGTCCGTCAGCACCTGACAGCGCTCAAAGACCTTGGAGCCAAAGCGAGTGTCAATGCTGTCGGCAATCGGCCCGGCAGAGGTGGTGCGCGCCGCAGAGCCACTCGCGTGAGAGGCTGATTTGGGAGCAGTGCCACTGGCGCCAGCGCCGGCAGCAGAGCCAGCTGGAGCGCCACTAGACCCGCCGACGGCAGTGCCTGACTTGCTCTTACGAGTGCCACTGAAGGAGGACGATCCGGGGCGGCTGCTTGAAGGGGCACGACTGCTGCTGCCGCCGGGAGAGGTGGAACTGCCTCCACGAGAGCCCGAAGAGTGGGCAGAAGAGGAGCTGCCGCCGTGTGAAGAGCTGCCGTGTGAAGAACTGCCCGAGGAGCCGTGCGAAGAGCTGCCAGAGCTGCCAGAGCTGCCAGATCCTGAAGTGTGAGTCGATCCGGAAGAGCCTGAAGCACCCGATGAGCCCGACGAGTGGCCAGAGGAAGCTCCCGAGCTGCCTGAAGTGTGGGTGGATCCCGATGAGCCAGAGGCACCGCTTGACTTGCTGCCTGATGAAGCTGACGAGCCGCTTTTCTTGCTTGAAGACATTCTTGGCGATCTGAAAGTTAAGTGAGAGAGTGATGCAAGTAAAGCAAACCGAGAAAGGAAACCAGCCAGCCAGAAAACAAAAGTGAAAAAGCCACTCAGCACTGCAGTTTCACTTTATGCTGACTGATTTTTGCTTTTCGAATTGACAACAACTGGTGATGATTCGCAATTAGGATTGTACACGTTTGCAAATTGATTGAGCAAAATTATTTGTTTGGTGTAGATATCAATTTATTGAGGACTACTATCAACTTCACTGCTAGTACTACTGTCAGTTACAGGTGAAACGGGATGCTTAAAAGCTGATGTTGGTGCAGGTGCTGCTGCTGCAGAACTTGCTGCAGCGCTGGAGGCTGAAGTTGACGGTAAAGGAGGACTATTGGTGACCATTCCTCGGGCCACATTGCTCCAGGCACCTGGATTGACCACTCCACCTTTACCACCATCACATTCTTCAGGTGACAGAGATAAAGTTTCTTGAGGATTAACTTTGGGAGATTCCCCTACATCTTCTTCACTGCTGGGATTGAGAGATGAAAGTGTACGCATTTTAGTTAGCCGTTTTCCTTTTTTGACTTCGGAGACGGATGAAGAAGTTGCGGCTCTTGCATCGACATTGTTGGTGGCAACGCTGGATGCTAATCGACTGGCTTTTGGAAGTGGCAGATGTGGTTGTTGTGGTAATGGTTGTTTCTTTTTCTTCTTCATTGGATTTTCTTGCTTCACCTTACCTTTAGCCTTAACTCGGATGGCTAGAACTAGTTCTTCCTTCTGAACGTCTCTAGTGGTGATGATGGTGCTGTCTGTCTGCTGTTGCTCGTTTCCTGCTGTCACTTTTTTTCGCTTCACTTGCTTCAGAGGCTTCATCTTTTGATTTTCCATCGTTGATGAGAACAACTTTAGCTTTTTTAAGTCCGCCGATTTATTGAGGCTAAAGACTGAAGAGAATGTTCGCTCGTGTTTCAGTTTTCTTTTTTCCAGGATTGTCGAATCAACAGCACTATTCTTTGCCTGCTTCTTGGATTCCACAACACCACTTTTCTTATCTTTTAAAATAATTTTTCCCTTTTCATCGACTTCATCACCCTCACCACCTTCATTGTCTCCGTAGTTCTCGTCGTCACTGTTGCTTTTGTAGTAGCAGTAGTAATAGGCACCTCCAGCGGCCACCAATATTAAAGCAAGGTAGACAAAAATGAAAAAACCATCAAAAATATCACTCCAACCTTGAGTAGTGAAGGCAGTTTTAGAAGGTGGTGTTGCCGTTATATTTGGCCGAGGGAATTTATAATTGTAAAGCCAAACGCTTGCCAAACCAAGTGCAATCAAACTCCCGATAACGGCAGTTTTTTTGGTACACTTAAAACCTGAAATAAAGAAGATGCATGGATGAGTTTTATAATTAGTTTTACATTTTGCTAATCTTACCTGAATGTTTCTTTTCACCTTTAACAGTTTGTTCTAGTTTGCTCTTTGTCGTCGTCAATTCCTTCTTGTTGCCAGACAGTCGCTGAAAGAGCGCAAGGTAAAGGAGCACCTTGACTCGTGCAGTGTACAGAGCAATATACTGCTCTTCGGTGTCTTTATACGCAAGTTCCTCGCGATATTTTTTTGGCCCTTGTTTGCGAATCTGCTCCCTTTTTACGCAGTTTCGCAGCACACACAGCCAAACAATTTCATCGATAATCTCTACAAGATTCACCGAGTAGGGTTCTTCGTTTATGTCGATCCCTTGGGATGACTTTCGCAGTGATGCTGTTTTGAGAAAAAGCACATTAACGGCCTCTTCGGTGAAACCGTCAGACGAGTGGAAAGTGATGACTGTTTTATCCTCTACTTTCTTTGAAGTCCAAGCCAGATTCTGCAGTGTTTCTTTCATAACTTCAAAGGTCTTGCTGATATCGTCCTTACTTGCAATCAGTAGTTTTACCGTGACCAGCAAATCGGCAAGGTTCTGCACAATGACCTCTTTTGAAACTTGATTTTTGTTGGGCTTTTTTATGTGGTAAGCATTGTCCAGTCTTTCGTTGTTGGCGAGACTGTCCATCAACATATTCCAAATTTTGCTTTTTGTCGCTTTTTCTTTCAGATGTGTGCTGACGTACATGTCATACTTGTCTACCAGAGGTTTCAGAATGTCGGTATCTCTTTTGAGCATCTCTGAAGTTGCATCTTTGCTGTAGTAGGCGGTGAACAGATGGGCGTATTTGGGCAGTGTATTAGTGGACTTTTTGTCAAATAAAGTCAAACAAATGCTGGTAAGCAACAACAACACAATCAAGTAAACTGCTGCTTTCATTTCAAGTCAGGGATGAAAAAGTGATTGAGATGAATGAGTGAAAAAGTGAGTCATTAAAACAAGAGTAAATAATCCTTTTTATGTTCAACAAAATAAAAATTTAGAATTTTGTATGTGTCAATTGTTTTAGCAAAAAGCACAAGGCTTAGTATTTTTCTCGTTTTTGAAAAATCATCATAAAAAGCATTCCTGCGTAGGAGAACAACTGAAAAAATGATGGATTTGATAGAGTTATTCAGGGCATTTCATTAGTGCACTCCATACCATCTCGAACATTTTAGAGTTGATAGGATAGTTGTTGAGCAGTTTAAAGCCAATGGACGATATGGCGTCGTAGTTGGCCGTCAAATTGTCCTCCTTGAGAAGTTCGACAAGGGTGAACCGTCGCCGTAGATGCGAGTGAAAGGTGAGCGCCGTCTGCTGCGCTTTTCGGTGCAGTCGACAGTTACCGTAGACCAGCAGTGAGCACTGCCAGGTAATTAGCACCAAAATGGCAAAAAAGGCCAGGCCAAAAGTGCGGAAAAAGGCGCGCTCCACAAAGCCCAACTGGTGAGTTGGTGTGAAGATGGAGAGGTAGGTGAAGTTGCAGCTAAGCAGCACATAAGAGAGGTAGTTGACGGTGAGGTATTTGCACCAGAAGGCATTGTGACCGCAGATCTCCTCAAAGAGAGCAGTCATCTGACCACTGATCAGTTGGTATTTGCTCCACAGATGGTGATAGTGCTGCTGCACTTGGTTTGGCTGGCCTATTGAAAGATGATGCTGTTGTTGTTGCAAGTGTTGCTGATGACTGAATCGACGGGTAAAGGGAAGTGTCACAATTCGGGTCAACAGTTGACTGAACTGCGTCATTCGGTGTTGTTGCTTGATTCGAATGTAGCTGGCAGTCAGACAGAAGTTAATGATCAGGTTGATGTTGCCTGTAGTGTTACAAAAATGTAATTGACCAGTTGGTGCTTTTTTGTTTCTATACTCACTGTCAGTTGAATAGGCAATGAAGAAGTTTGTCGCCAAAAGAAGAAGTTGATCATGGAGGCTAGAGGTCCATTGAGTGACCAGAAAGTAGCTGCAAAAACTGTCAATGGCCAGAAAGGAGAAGAGCACATTGCCCAACAACAGTGGTCGAACTTTGCGTCGGAAAGCCACTATTCGGCTGCTTTCATAACGTGACAGCAGTCGGCCATTCTGAACAATCTCACATATTTCTTTTTCTTTATCATTTGTTTTCATAAACAAGTGCATTGTGTATTTGCCCGTCAGCTGATCGGTGAGCAGACAACCAAAGATAAGGCAGGTCATGGTGATGATCAACAGCAGACTAGTGTCGGTGACTGGCCAGAGAACACGTGGAAAGATGAGGTGAATCCACAGAGAGGGAATTTCTGGCTCAAAACGATTGACAGCAGAACTGAGCAAAGTGTCGGTGATGATGTACAGCACAACTAGGTTTGGTATGCAGTAGTGGACGTTGACAGAACTTACCAGTTCACTCAAAGTTTCATATTTTGACAATCGTTTCTCTAATTTTGGCATTTTTTGACTGTCATTTTCACTCAAAAGTTGTTGCTTTTTTACGCCGTACAGCTGTGCGTCTTTTACTGTGTCAAAATCGTGGTAGAGAATTTGTATGTGATTTTTGCAAACACAACAAAAACGTTTAATTATTTGTATTACAGAAATATGATTGTGAAAACGTTGCATGATTTTTTTATTTTTGTCACAAAAAACAAATTAAATAAGTTTTTATAAAAATTTTAAATTTAAAAATAAATTAGCTTGATTTTTGTGTTGCAATTTAAGCATGTTTTAATTTTGTAAAGCTGTCAAAATGAAGAAAAATATTAATTTTTCTAATAAATCTGTTATATTAATTCAATCGTGTATTTTTAATTCATTTAACGATTTTTTCACAGTAACATTTTGTAAGAGAGTAGATCATTACTCACAAACAGGTATATTTAAAAAACTAAGGTTACAAAAAACAAAAAATACGATTGCTTTAAGCCTAATAAATAAAAAATTATTTTTTTGTTTTAAAAAAAGTTATAAATTATAAATCAATTAATCGAATGCGATTACATTATAATTTAAAAGTAAAAAAATTTCACAATACCCAGGCCTACTATTCACTAACTTAGCCAAGCTAGCAAAAAAGACTGTCTAATATCTGTTTGTCTAATATACAACTGTATGGCGACTGGGACTTTAAAAACATTTTAAGTACAAAATATACAATTAAAATCCTAATGATTAGCACAAGTTAACATGATAAGATGCAACTCAGAGGTCCGGCTGCAGCAAAATAACTGCTTAGTGATTGAGTAGTTTTTATTTAAATGCTTTCCCAAGTATCAAAAAGATTTTACTCGTTTGTTGCTCGTCCACCTGGTTTATTCAAGCAAACATGGCCAAGCTATCCTACATAATTTTCTTAGCTAGTCTGGCACTCTTTGGCACCCTTTCGGTGACCCTGGCCGCTGACCCTCTCGACACAACTGTGATTGCCGATTTGATCAAGCGTGGCGATGCCATTATTGCAAAAGCAAAAAACGATCTAAAAAACCTGCAGTCGAAGCAGTCGTACTTTGTACATCCACTCGAGGACGAGATTCACAAAGTGGAAGTCTTTCTGCGAGAGATTGAGAAGCTGGCCAAGGAGAACAAACTGCCCGCGACGCAATTGGGCCTCGTGGAAGCTCGT